TGCCTCTACCCTCACGTTCGCGGCGACCGGCTCGGCTGCCACCGAGTCCGGCTCGATCTTCCACAGCACCCTAACCGGTGCCAGAGCTGCAAAGCTGTCTACCAGCGCGCGCTTCTTGACTGGATCAATGAACTTCCCTTTCATGATCGATCCGAACGACACAAAAATAAAGCCATCCTTCGCATCATCCATCCATTTGCGGAGGTCCTGCAAAAAAAATCAAAGCCGTCAAGTGAACTGTCAGCTGCGGGATGGAATAAGGCCATGTCGGAATGCTCGCCCTCGAGGGCTTGCGTGACGTAAGTCGAGCGGCTATCGAGTCCATCACAAGATCGCGTTCAACAGCTGTTGCGACACGTGTGCTAGAGTGCAAGTGGACTTACCGACGGGATCCTGCCCAGGTCGGCGGGTTTGACGTGCATGCCGCCGACGGGTATGAGGCTCGGCGGCAAGGGTCTGGCCGCCTCCAGGATAGGGTTCTCGTTGACGAGGGCCACGTGAACATGCTGTCGCAGCTGTTCCACGGAAGGTGCGTCCTCGCCGAAGAACCTCTTGATGAGGCTGTCCTGCACGGGCCGCCACCACCAGACCACCAACTTGGAGTGCGCGTGTAGGTAGAGGGTCCAGGCGCGCTGCCACAAGTTCATGGGGTGCGGGAAGGGCTGCATGGTGTGCGCCAGGATCGACGGCACCTGCGGGTTGTACATCAGGTCGTCGATCCACGGCGAGATGGGGAAGGGAGACACAGCGATCATGCCGGGGTAGTTGAAGCGGTGGGCGAAGCCCAGCATACAGTCCGACATGTAGTCGATGATTATGAGGTCGTATGTGCTTTCGAAGGCCGAGTCAAGCAAACGTTGCATGGCCGGTGCGCCCAGGTCGCGGATACACTCTTTTTCTACAATTTCCTGGAGAAGACTGATCTGCTGCACTACCGTGGCTGCCAACCAACGCTTCATGTGTTCCGGATTGGCGAGCTTGAAGGCCGTCTCGATGATGGTCGTGTTGAGGGTGGGTGGGTTTTCGCCGTGCTTGTGGATGTCGATGGAGGTGACGAGGTGGCCGCGCTTTGCGAGCTCCACCGTCAGCGCCGACATCCAGATGTGGTGGCTCATGGTGCCCACCGTCATGATGGAGAGGATGCGCAGCGGTTCCCGAGCGGGAGTTGCTGCTGCAACAGGAGCACCAGCAGGAGCAGCAGCAGGCGCAACAGCAGGGGCAGCCGCGGTCGACTTCACTTCTGACGCTGCCGAAGTGATGCATTGCATGAGCAGGAGCGGGAGGAACAAGGTGGCCACGAGGACCGCGACGTTCTTTGGCGCGACGGCCCGGGCTGGCGAGGCGTGCTTCATCTCGGATGTTGACGGACTGACTGGTGTGATTGGTGTAGTGGGCCACTGCCACTTCACCACCTTGCACTCTGGGCCAGCCACTTGACTTGTACTTTCGCTTGGTCTTGGTGGGTAAAGATTACATGTGATTGCACTCCTTTTTCACTGTACTTTGGCGTTTCGTTGGCGATAAGAGAGTGAAACGCTATGACTT